AGCTGCTTTGCATTCCTTTATGTAATTCTAGATTTCCCCAAAGGATCATAAAAGTTTAATCCAAACCCAGAAACCTCGGTTACGCAGCTGTGATTAATTGGCTGAGTTAAGAGACACTTCACAAACTCTGTAGGGATTTAAATGTGTGTCTCTGCTGTGCATAAGGTGCACTTTTAACTTTTGAATTAAAATCAGATCTTAATAAAATGCAAGTGAGCTGATATCTTGGTTTCCACTCGTGCTTTTGGGCTTCCTAGCATATATGCTAAGGTAGATGGCAGAGAATAATCTGACAGTAAGGCAGCCTCTAGATTCCCGCCCCAGTGAACTGGTGTTAAGTTTCCAGTTATACTGGATTCTGTTGGGTTATAATTTCTTCTTGGCAGAGACGCGCTGCAGTCAGCGATCCTGTCAGATGTACCGAACCCAATCAGCCGAGTGAAACATGACGGCTCTGTTTCCTAAAACGGGATGGAAGGAAAATAATTTGTGATCGCTGTCCTAATTTTTACTGATGTACATGACAGATGGCAAACCTGTGACCTCTAGGTTGTGACTGCACATGCTAACAGTCTTATATTAGTCTAAAATTAAGGCCTTAAAATGTCTTAAATTCATTTTTTAAAAGTCTGTTGGCCTTAGATATGTTAGAGGACTTATATTTTGTTGTGACAGATCTGAAAAATGAAAACTGACCATTAGTTGCCTTTGAGGTTTTATTTACTTCAATCTTTTGCAACAGAAAAAGTCAACAAAAGAAGTGGATCTGTTGGCTGATGCCAGCCATGAATGTCTTTTAGTTTTTGACCCACATTGAGTCACGTAGAGGAGAAATAAAGACTTTGTCCTCAGAAAACTAATCCACACTTACGGGAAACTAGATCAAGGATTTTGTAAAGTAGCACACTTGAGAAAAACAGCCATTGTTGATTTTGTTGATAAAGGAACCCATCACTAAAATGTGTAGAAACCTTTCATTTTTCCTTCTGCACCATCTTGTTGTGTCTTGGTCTCACAGTGATTAATAGTTTAACTTTGGGGGTTTTTTTAGTTCTGTTTTATTAATATTATGTACATTTTGGCAGATAAGGTGTTTAAACAGCTGATAATTTGTGTTATTGTAGATTTTATTAAGGTTAAGACTAAATTATTTAGCATGATTGTAAATTCCCATCCGCTAGTTTCTGTTTGCTCAGCTGAATGCCTCACAGCTTGCAGAGTAAAGGACAATAACAATAATTTTAGTCATCCTGTATCTGTGTGTATGTATCCTGATTATAGATGATCTGTTCTTAATAAAATATACCTTTTTAACCCGGGTTGCCTCCTTTCCCCGGGTTGGCGGGATCAGAGCAGCGTTGCTGTGTCAAACTCTTCTCACCGGCGTCGTTTCACCTCTGATGCTGCAGAGCTTCAGCTGGTTTCCTGAGCGCAAAGACCTCAGAGCTGCGTTCATCTGCCCTGTGGCAGCTTTGGATTAGGGCTGAAACGATTAAACGTGATTAATCAATTATTAAAATCATCATCAACTAACTTAGTAATTAATTCATTGTTAACTGGAGTACATAGATTTTTAAAAATGCCATTTTCTGAAAGAACAACACACTCAGAGCTGTAATGAACCTGAAAATGTACAAAAATATTAACATTTTGCATTAAAATAAATAAATTTGTTCTACTCAAGTTTTAGCTTCACTTGGTTCAATTTTAGTTAAAAAAAGTCTCCTATGAAGCATGTGTTTCTATCAATTATTAATCAATCAAAAAGATAATCAACCGATCAGCCCTCCAGGGATTTTTCCAAATGTTGATTTTAAAGTATTTTTTAGCTGTAAATTCAATTGATCAAGCGTTCACTAAATGAAAGCCATACTATTGCATTTTAGTCAATAAAATATTTATATTCTTCTAAAAAGTAAAGATTTTTTTCTTTTTGTATTTTTCAATGTATTTCTAACATTACATAAAATAATCTTAAGTGATTTCAGTACAAAATCTGCTGAATGTGCTTCTTATTTAATCCGATTGTCAGAATAATCAGTTACTAAAATAATCGTTTTTTGCAGCGCTTCTTTGGAATCCAGTTTGTTGTTTGAGGAGAGAATCATGGCTGGTTTTATGTAATTTAGCTGTTAATTATTCAACTCACTAACTGAGTCATGCAGATTATCTGTTCCGGATTATTTCCTCTTTTCAGTTTGATTCCAAGCCTGAGAACAATTTAATGGAAGGTGTATTTAATGGAATTAATGATTAATTAATGATTATTAATTCCAGAATTAATTTAAGAGTTGATAGCTGTGAAGAGGAAGGATCTCCTGTAGCAGTCTGTGTTACAGCAGCTCTGAAAAAGCCTCTGACTGACACACAGAGCAATCCTTAGAACAAAACCAGATTTTTCTTTTTATCACCTTTTTGTCGTGAAGCAAATTTTCACTCAAAAATAATTTCTTTAATGTTCATACATAATGATTCTGTGTTTCAGTTTGTTGATTTAGCTGGAAAAATCTCAGGTGAGACAGTAAGAGGTGCAGTTCCTGCTCAGGTTTTTCTCGCACTGTAACTATAAACTTCAATGGATTAAATAATATAGTTCAAAACACTATAAGCAGTACTTACATTTAAGTACTCACTGATGCAGAGTACTGATACAAGTACTTATTAGTGCCAAAACACTCCTTACAATTAAGTTTTGAATTATTTGTTTGAAATATTCTGTAGTGTAGAATAATTTTCTAAGTGGATTGAAGATGTTTGTGAAAAACTAGTCAGAATCGCCCTGCAGTCAATTTGAAAGTTTAGTGTCTAAGTATAAAAAGAGACGGCTCGTCAGTTTTATTTCTAAATATATAATATACTCATATCACTGCTTTCTGCTGGTGTAGCAGATAAAATGCATTTACATTTTTTTTAATGTAACATGAAAAACTAGAAGGAAAAAAGCTGTAAGAGAGAAATTTTTTAAGGCATTATGTCTGTTGTATCTAACATTATTACAACACCATAGAGAGAAAGTAATAAAGTGAAGCAGTAAAGCAAACTGGCTGCAAAATATTGGAGAACCTCAGCAGCGACATGAATATTTAATCTCTGTCTTTTAGTGATCCTCTCTTCTCGTCTGTCCTCTCCTTTCACTTTTTGTCCTCTGAGATGATATATTTGCTGGTTTGCTCACACAGCCGTCTCCTCCTAAATGTAAGGAACGGAGTCTATTTTTACCCAAAGTATGCCACTGCTCCTTTCACATCCCCACCTGTTGAGCTCCTGACCCATTTTATGTCCAGCTTTCTAACACAATGAGCATCCAAACTGAAATAAAGCTGAAAATATCTCCTGAAGCAGCCGACGCAATATCTGGTCAAATAATTATGGAGGATTTTATTGTTTGAATGGAGGCGAAGCATTATTTATGGACACCTGAGTTATTGTTTTTGTCTTTTATCTCTTTCTACCAAAAACTGGATGATGAAAGTCTTCAGTCTGCTGTTTTGGTCTCAACCAGGCCTTTTTAAGGACATTTTTGTTTACAGAGACTTCATAACTCATTTCATTTGTTCTTTCTGTTATTTTCTTTATTTTTGGATGTTTAGAATGTTTTCCAGTCCCAGTGTTAAATGCTCCTTAGATTTTAATGTTTATTTATCTTTTAGAAAATGTCCTTGCATTATATTACTTGAAAATGGTCTCAAAACAACGTTATCATTTAACTTCTGGGAAAATGTATCAGAATTTATTGTGACAGGTCAAGACGCCCGCATGACAATATTTTATTTAAATTGAGAAAAAGTTTTATTTTAATGTTTTTAGAAAGTTTTTCTCCTCCTCATATTTGTAACTTTTTGATCAGCTAATTGCAGGACTGAAACCCGGCTGAATATAATTGTACTGGCTGTTCAGCGCGTGGAGCAGAGGAGCGGCGGGTTTCCTCCTCCTCCTCCTCCTCCTTAATTCGCGTCTCATGAGACACATTCTGCTTTCTTTGTCTCCCCGTCACATATTCAGACTCTGGCTTTTATCAATCCATCTGCCTCTTTCTTATTTACCCCCGCCGCCCTCCATCCTTTTCACAGCAGCAATAATAACGGAGCTGATGTCACCGTTGCCATGGCAGCGGTGTGAAAACTTGGCTGCTGGACGCGACTTGGGCCTCCCGGTTGCCAACTTTACGAGGAGAAAACAGTCGCAGCACTTACTGATCGTCTGGACGGTTTTCTGGAGGATAAATCAGGATCTCAAAGAACTAAATTAGTTTGGACTGTTTTTCTTAGAAGAAATGCTTAAACAAAAACATTTTCGTCAACTGAAATATATAAAAACATTCTGAAGTTATAAATATATATGGTTTTGTGTTTATGAATCTATTTATTCGCCTTTCCAACTGATGCGAAGTAGATTTAAGTTTGTTTTTACATAAGCAACTTGGTTGTCGGCAAATTACGGCACTATGTTAGTGCCCAAAATGGTGGCAGCAAAAGTTGTGATAAAACATCAGAATCAGTTGGTTGTTCAACAATAACTGATTTTGAAGATGGGATCTCATGTATGCAATACTTTTTGAATTCTGCATCTAAAAATTAACCACTGTATGAAAAACTAAAACTTCTAATAAAAACTCAACTAAAACTAGTTTAACTAATAAAATCTAACAAGCACACTCTAAAAACTAATTCAGACTGACTGAATTAGACAAACAAAAAGCCACAATGAAATAAAAGTGAACTATAATGAAAAACCAGAACTATAATAATTGTGGTCTGGACTGGAAATAATGAGTTATCAGGTCCTTTGGGTACAAAACAAGCCCAAATCATCACACCTCCACCACCGTGCCTAACAGTTGTATGACATGTTTTTCCTGAAAGCCTTAAATGTGTGAATCTATTTGTCCAGTTGCACATATTAGCATGTCTAATGTGTCTCCTCTGCAGGCGGAGACGCCGTGTTGTTGAATCTCTGCCCTCGTCTCCGGCTCCACCTCGACCCCGTCTCCGTCTCTGTGATGCTGGGCTGTGGGTGAGGCTGAGCCCGCAACCAGACTGAAGCTGGGGAAGCTAAAGGTGGTGCGGCGGCAGCTGCTGCAAAGGTACAGAACCTCACGGCTAAAGAGATGCTGAACGTTGTGTGTTTCTGTGATATTTACCAGCATCATTTAGCTTGAGAATGTTTAAGCTAATTTCATTCAGTTAGATTAGATTGTAAGGGGCGTTATTATTGGGGCCTGCCATGCAATGGCGGACCAATGCATTGCATGGCAGGCCCCAATTGTTCTACACCCAATAGAATGTCTGGATGTTATTTAATTTTTTTCCATCACCGTTAATGCGGCCCAAACCGATGCGTGCATCCCCACAAAAGGGGTATCAAAATGTTCAGCTTGATCCCGAGAAGAGAGCTATTACTTTTAGTGGGATTCTGAGTTAAAATGATGACATAAATTGAGAAAAACGAGAAAAATCGAGGCTGAGAGTCTCACAGAATCACACAGATTATTTAACCAGACTGATGTTTTCAAGCCTTTGTTTCTGTTAATTATCATGAAGTTTTGCTTAACAGCTAAAGATAAGAATAAAATATTACATCAGACCAATTAAAATAAACATTTTTATGCAGATATATGTTTCAGTTTGCTGAAAAGTATGTTTAATATCCAAATAAAAGTTGTTTTCAAAAGTTTAATCTCACATACGTTTTCTAATTTATAGAATCTGATTGTAGATCTGCCAGAGGCTTGAATAATTTTGTATCAGTACATTTTATGTGAAGTTCACACATCCCGTCGTTGGATAACATTAGAAAATGTTTTGATGAAGAACATTTCGTCCTCCACAGCGTCTCACCAGAGGAATGAGTCACGCTGCGTCTCCCTGCACCAACATAATCTCATTATATTTTCTAACTTGTTTGAAAAAAACTTTCAGTTCTCTAATGAAACGTTACGTTTTGTCATAATGAAACACTTCTGGCTGTTTGTAGCTTATAAATAGATTACTGCAGTCGTAAAGCTGAGCTGAATGTTTTCAGGTTAGTTTCTAAATCCATTTTTATCCACATTCATCTAAATAATTTAGTTTTAAGGCTTTAGTTTCCCTCAGCCATATTCATAAATTAGGTTTTATTTGCTTGCAGTGATTCTGGAAGTTTTGGAGCAGAAACTAAATATTGGATAAATATTAAACACGGTGGCTTCTGTTGCTTTTTCACCATTTTACCAAAAAGTTCACATCTTGTGGAAAGTTTCTTTACTTTTTTTAACGTTTTCCAACCTTAATCTGGTAAGAAAATAAAAACATAGCGCACTTTTCATGTCCTGAAATAAAATACTAATTAAAACTGCAGGAATTTCTAGTTACTCTGTTATTGTACAAACGCTAAAATCTATGTTAATGTACATTTTGTGAAGAAGGAAGTTGCCCTCAATGTCTTCTGCAAAAACACAAAATCTCAGCAAGTATCTCTGTCTGGTTTCTACTGCAAATATCTTAGTTTTGTCTAAGACAAGATTTTTTTCTCATGTCATATACGTGAAATAATCTGCCAAAGGAACAAGTATTTTTTCATCGATAGTTAAAACAAGTTGCTGTATCTTGCTGAAAAGTTACTTATAAGTTAGTTTTGTCTCATTTCAAGTGTTTTAAGATATTTGCACTAGAAATTAGACTAAAATTACTTGGTACGATGTTGTGTTTTTGCAGCATTTTTTATCTTGTTTCCTTCAGTGACTCTTGGTTCAGCGCCCCCGCAGGCAAGGAGGGGAACAGATTTGTTAATTAGTCTAGTTTGAAACAGTGCAGTGTGAAAGTGAACCACACCAGCTGAAAAACTTAACAAATGTTGCAGCTTTGGTGCGAAAACACCTTTAGCCATAGTTTCCTAAAAACTATCCATCTTTTTCACTTTTTATCCTAACAACAAATCTATCCAAATAAGCCACGTCTAATTTCAACCATAAATTCCTGAAATAAAGTTGTAATATTTTTCTCCCTAAAAGCCCTCAGCATGTTTGGATGTCATCTGTGCTCATCTGTGTCCGTTTGTCTCCTGTTTGTTTCTGTCAAAACGTTGATTTCTGGCTGGTTTCTGGTTACACCAGGTATGAACACCAGCCGTTTGTGTCCTGCCTGGCTGGACTCTATGGCTGCCAGTGGAGGAGATACCAAAGAGCACGGGCGCAGCCCGGAGAGTGCTGCTGCAGCAAGGTGAGCGTCCTCACACAGCGCCGGATAAAAACAGTCTGGCTGGCCTGCTGATGGAGCACCGAGTATCGATTCCCCGGCTGGTTTCCCTCAGTCCAGCCTGCTGAGTTGGTCGCAGCTTTTTCTATGAAGAGATTATCAGCACTTTGTCAGCTGTTATCAAACCTGCTGTTTCTATGTGCATAATGCAATCTGCTGTGTCCGCCTGAGTCTCTCCAGCTGCGTTTCCATCACAAATGTGCACAAAACTTTGTCGAAAAAACACAATTTCTCAAGAAACGCAATTAAAATCACACGTGAATACGTTTGCTCACGTGATAATTCATTAAAATCATTCAGCCTCTAAGCACTTCCTGTCATCTTCTCTGTCATTTCCACCAGTAGTAACATCTGGATGCTAATCACATGATTCATATGATACGAAAACACAGTTTCCATTGCAGTTTTGTGAAATACACTAATTTAGATACAGCCGAAAAAACCTACCAAATACTAAATCCATAAACCTTATTTATAAACTGTGTTTATTTGAAATTGCAGTGTTTCCATTAAGCAAATTTATTTTTGTAATTCCAATTTGTGCAACTTTATGGTCAATGGAAACACAGTGAGTTACATTTGTTCTACATTAGAATATTATCAGAACCAAACATGAGTTTCCACCTCAAACTAACAGCAGTGAAAGTTATGAATGAGTTAATCTAAAGTTGATTTAATATTAACATTTAAATTTTAACCTAAAGATAAGTTTAAATGTGTAAACTGTGTGTAATGTACATATTTGGGATTAAAAACACAGACATGCCTCTGTTTCAGGTGGAGTGTGGCAGCTTCGGGCTCCTGATCCTCACCTTCTTCCTGAGTTTTGTTTTCCTTTATTTCTGGAGCGAAGCTCAGAACGACTACAATGACTTTGACTGGTGGGTCTCACAGAACAGCAATTACCAAACTCTTTATCATCAAAATGCATCAGGATTTCCCATAGACTCTAAACTAAATTTACCACATGGTTTAATATATAACAAGACATTTTTCCCATGTTGTAAGTGAAATAATCTACCAGTGGTACTGATAACTTTTCATCAATAATAATGAATTATTGGCTTAAAACAAACTCCTACTAACTAATATTTGCATTAAAAAAACATAACATCAGCCTCTATATTTGAAAATCAAGATTTTAGCAAAATGTTTCTTTTATTTCAGAAAGTGAAAATCCAAATTTTTTTAATATTGCACTGGAAAAAGTATTTTTGTTTTAGTTTCTAGTGCATATATATCATCAGACTTGAGACAAAACTAGCTAACAAGTAACTCATGATCAAGAAACAGCAGCTTGTTTTGAGTAAATAATCCTGAATATTCATGGAAAAGTTCTGGTTCCACGGGCAGATTTTGTTATGTAGAACATGGGAAAATGTTCTTGTTAAAAGTGAAATAATCTTTCAGTGGAACTTTTAAAATCAATATTAAGAAACTGTTAACATAAAACAAGCTGATGAAATAATGAGCTAAACCTGTGATTAGCACACTGGAACTAAGATGAAACTAAGAAAATTTGCACTAGAAACTTGACCAGAAATACTTGGTGATATTTTGTGTTTTTGCAGTGGAATATAAACATTTTCTGAGATGTTTCCCACTTTCTGAAATGAGTGAAAAAAATATAAAAATTTCTACAATATTCTCATTTTTGAGCTGTACTTTTCATTCGGTTTGGAAACATCCGTATCTTCCTCTTGTGCAGTTTCATATTATTATTATTATTATTATTATAAATCTGAATGTCCTGATGATTCTCTGGTTAGTTTATTTGCCTTCTTGTTGTTTTTTTAATCTCCAGGTTTAATTTTGGGAATCTCGGCTTCTGGTTCCCCTGGTCTCTGGTGCTGCTGGCCATCGCGGCGGCTCTCTTCACGTACATCGCCCTGCTACTGGTACGCACTCTGATAAAACCAACATTTCTGCTTCCAGTCCCCTAACGGTGTTTTTACATGTTGCCCAGGTGTTGGCGGTGTGTCTGCTGTCTGAAGGTCAAAGGTTATACCTCCACTGGAGCCACAAGGTGAACACTGAGACACAACCTGTCGCTGCTCTGCGGCTCCTCACAGAAAAACCCGAGGTGCTGATGTGTTTTCTGTCCTGTGTGTGACGTCAGACCGGCATCATGGTGGCGCTGGTGTTCTCCGTCACGGCCACTGGGATCCTGTCTGACCTCTGGAGCAAAGAGTGGAAAACTCTCCAGCTGTCCCTGCAGGTTGGCAACGCCTCACGCCACAAAACGACAGAAAACCGGAGCAGAATCGTTTCTGCGGCTCTGGTCTTGAATTTCAGTCAAAGTTTGGAAATACTTAATATTCAAAACGCAATCTAACGTTTGGTTAAAAGTCTAAAGTTGGAAAATGATATTCACAGTTGAAAACAGATTTTCATAGTTTTTTTTTCTCCCTGAAGTTAAATAAAACTAAACTTTTCCTGTTTTGGGTCAGTTAGAATCACCAAAATTATTTCTATTTGCTAAATGCCAGAAAACTGAGAGAGAATGTTTTTTTTTTTTACTCTCTTTGTATATCATAGTTTAGCATTTTATTAAATTAGGAAGGTAATTTACCTTAACAGGATGTTATAAGTATTTATTATTCCTAATGACTCAGTGACTTATTGGTCTGTTTAATAGAAATAAAGGTTGTTTTATATTAACTTTCAGCTTTGATTCACTTCTTAGATTAAATGTTCACAATCACAAAAACATTAGTAATATAACAGTAATAAATGATATCATATAATAGTGAATCTTTTTTAGTTAATTTCTGTTGTTTAGTTTTGTTTTTGACTCCAAAGTGGTGCTGGAGAAGTATGGGAACTTACCTTGAGAAAGCTGAAAGTGTTTGAATCTCACTGTATGAGTCTTTGCTCATCATTCATGAGGTTCGTCACGTTTTGGTGGTTTTATTTTTTTTATTTTTCAGGTGACGGCTCCTTTCCTCCATGTGGCTGCCGTCTCGCTCATGGCGGTTCTCTCCTGGCCGACGGCGTTGCACTTTTTTCGTATGAACAAGAAAGGTAAACAAACCGATTGAAATCACTTTCCCTTTAATTTCTCAGTAATTAAAGGGATACATCATGTAAAATCTGTTTACTCAGCCAAAACAGTGCAGGTTTGGGAGTGGCCTACACTGCAAAAACACAACATTTTACAGAGTTTTGTCTAGTTTCTGGTGCAAATATCTTATTACACTTAAATTAAGACAAAACTAAGTTATGAGTAACTTTTCAGCAAGACATAGGAACTTGTTTTAATTCTTAAATATGGATTAAAAAGTTCTAATTTCCTGTGGGAAAAATGTCACGTTATAAGTCAAATAATCTACCAGAGGAACCAGAACTTTTTATCAATCAATAACCATTTACTTAAAACGAGCTCCTGCATCTTGCTGAAAAGTTACCTGTAAGTTAGTTTTATCTTATTTCAAGTGTACTGAGATATTTTCACAAGAAATAAGATTAACAAAGGGACAAAATCTACTTTTTTAAAGCATTAAATATATGTTTTGTGTACTTTGAGTCTGTTCAAAAAATGTTGACCGATTATCTAAAGCACACAGGCGAGTCCAGCTCTGAGTGGTTCAAAAGAACAAAGTGAAGGTTTAGGAGCAAAAACATAAAATATTATCAAGTATTTTTGTCTAGTTTCTGTTGCAGATGTCTAATTATACGTATTATTATTATTATTACACTTAAAATATCAGAAAACCAACTTACTGAACTAAAGAGACCGGGCAGAAACGAGCTCCAAAGGAGAGTTTCGGGCTAAAGAACCACAGAGATAACTTTTTGCTTTATTATATTTCTATAAGATATGAAGATTTTTATAATGAGATATTTCCTCGACTGGACGGTGATTTTCTCGTTGGATCATCTCGCCTCCTTCCTTCTTTATGGCTTCAGTGTCTTTCTGTCCTGCATGATGTCAGAGTCTGAGTGGCTCTGACCCTCCAGGTCTCTGCTTTTCTCATCTCGTCTCCATGGGGATGGCCCCTTGTTGCCATGGTGACTCAGCAGATCCAAGGATGCTGAGTCACATCAGGGGTTCTCCTGTAAGAAAAGCATCAGAGTAACGTTACAGCTGGAGATGATGAGGCTCATGTTGGTCGGCTGATGGGTTTCTAAGTAAATCAGGAATTCGGTAGAAATGTCCTTTATTGTCCCACCCTGGGGAAATTTCTGTTCACAAAATCTCACCAAGTATTTCTGATTTAATATTCTAATAAAAATATGTTATTATACCTGAAATAAGACCAAACTAACTTCAAGTAACATTAAGCTCCTATAAAACTAATTTTTGCATTAATAAAATAAATCAGCCTCTATATTTGCAAACCTGTAAGAGACGCGAAAACGAAAACTTCAGCTGTGATTTCAGTTAAATTTGGTTCTACAGGAGGACCGAGAACAAACTCACGCCGCACGTTTAAGATGGTTTTTTTAACTCTAATGAAAGTTGAAACTCAAACAGCTGTCGGCCATGTTGTGTCCCATCAGCTGGAGGCTGAAATGAGTTTGTGTGACTCATTTTACTCTTTATGTATATTTTGGTTTGTTTACATGTTTCCTAGATGCACAGAAAGCAGCGTCTCTTTCCTGTTTCTCAGTCCGTCAGGTCGTGGTTCTGGCTCTCTACCTGTCCGTGTTGTTCTCGCTCTACCTGGTTCCCCTCGGCATGTACTCGCCCTGCATCAAGGAGGCGGGAACTCTGGGACCAGCGCCCGCTCTCATTGGTCACAGAGGAGCTCCAATGGTAAGACAGGCCTTCAATAAGGAACTGTTAAGGAGAATCACTGTAACGTCGTGTTGCAATGTTTTCTACTGCACCGTACATCTGCTCAGTGTTGGGTTTAAATATGAGTCCTGATTCATTTCTGGGTCTATTGAGGTAAATATTTGTGTTAAATGTTGAGTTTAGACTAAAATGGGAAGTTTCAGAAAAATGCTAAATGGATCTTTCTCTCCACATTTAAGTTTAGTCAATTATCTACAGTAACTGAGGTAAAAAAAAAGAAAAAACGGGGAGGAATCTGGAAAACACGATGCAATAAAAAAAACTAATGCAACAGAAAATACTGAAATTAAAGACAATTGAAGCAGAAACCTACAAAAAACAAAACAAATGCTGAAATCACAGGAAATGGAAGCAAAAAATGAAGCAAATACCAAAAACTGTGAGTATCAAACGCTGCAAAGTTGCTCCACAAAACACAAGTCCTCCAGACCACCAGGGGGAGTCTGCAGTAGGTTTCATTACCGATTTAAATGCGCTACTGTTCTACACAAAGTTTAACATCGTTTGTTTATTCCTCCAACTTTCTGCTGGATGTCCCGTTAAATCATGACGTCCCGTCTTTACTGAGGAATTCAGTGATCGACTCCCCCTGGTGGTCCGGAGGACTTCTGACCACAGAGCGAGTTTTCATCGGTTCCATTTTGCTTCTATTTCTGCTGATTGCAGGACCTTTTGTTTGTTTTCTGTTGCTTTTGTTTTTTGTGTTTGCATCATTCATGTTTTGCTGTGAAAATTTACTAAGCATTAATTTTTGAGAGGAAAATTGTTGAAGAAGATTTTAGGTTATAATATTTCTTAAGAAAACTCTTTTGGCTCGATCTCCTTCGATCCCAGGTTCTCCCGGCGGGCCGCGTGTAGCCACACAAAAACAACAGTGAGTGCAGACGTCACAGAATTACAGTTTAATCCGATAGAAGACGACGCATAAAACTACAACAGAAACTGCAGAACAACAGAGACGTACATTTATTTAGCAGTTTACATGGAAAGAATAAAAGGAAAGAAAGAAAGCAAAGACGTCTAAAGACGTCTGGAGAATTAAGAGAGCAAATCTAATTTGTTACTTCTGTGTAGAAAGTTTTATAGTGAAGGCGTATTCTTATCTTTAATTTATTCAATAAGGCGTATCTTTGCTCATCCAACCAGGAGCTATCTCTGACCCTCTCTCTAAAGCCAGGAACTCCTGCTGTTTTACGGCTTTTCACAGATGAGTGTGAAAAACTAGAACTTCTACTTATTGTTTTCCCACACAGACAAAAGGCAGTTCAAACGATCCTAGCAAACCATCTGCTGTAACTACAGGTAACATAAGGTCAATAGGCCAGAATAAGTTACTGATTTTATAACTATAATTAGGCTATTTCAATCAAGACATGTTAAGTTTTAAAACTAGCATACTTTAAATTTATTTTCTTAACAAGGTCCATCTGACATCTTCCTGAAACTTCCCAGTGAAGTTCAAACCTGGGTAGTCGGTTCTGTTCCTTCTTTCTGGACCAAACTCTGCTTCAGGAATATTAGAAAAATGCTTTATTTCTGTCCTGCTGCAGATATTTTCTGTAACATATGAATAATTTTCTGCAAAGCAGACATTTCAAATTTAGGACAATGCAACTTATATATATATATATATATATATAATATATAAAAACATATTTTTTCCTTCAGATGTGGAAATCATAAGTGACTGGATGTTGTTGCTGATTTTGTATTTTGTTTGAAGCTGGCTCCAGAGAATACCTTGATGTCCTTTGAAAAGGCCGTCGAATCAGGAGAAGGCCTGGAGACGGACGTCACAATAAGGTTTGATTTCACGTTTATCATGCAAACCTGCTGGAGTTTCCTTCAGGTTTGTTGTTTATTCTTTACACGTTTCATCTCTGTCATTTAAATCTAATTTAAAACACTTTTTCACCAGAGATGTTTCAATGGCATCATTTACTTTGTTGGGTTTTTTGTTTCTTTTAATTTTTGCTTTAATTGTCTTGCTAGATTGTTTTTACCATGTTTTGTTTTCCACTGATCCGTATTCCTGATTGTTTTTAAATATAATTCATGATAACAAACTTTCCTGGATGATAAATTGTTCCAGTAATCATTTTAATACATTTTCATGATTATGGTATAATAATGGAAAGACTAATAAACTTTAATTTTGTGCAGAACAAAACTCTGGAACTGGACAATATTTTAAATATCCAGAATAAAACCAAAATCAATTTACACACAATAAAAACGGATTATGTAAATATTAATCACCAGAATGGAAATTATTGAGCTCATGTTAATTTATCAAGTGATTGATTAGTTCCTAATTGGGTCAGGCATTGAGCAGATAAACAAAGTTAGTTGGATTTTATTTATCCATCTAAACGCCCCAATAAGGAGGAAAATGTGAGGATTACAGATTCTCCCCTACTGGTCAGAAAATGCTGCAAATAAAACATCAGACAAAATGCTGCAACCTCAGGAAATAGAAGCAAAATGGAAAATGCTGAAAATAGCAATAGTTATTTTTTTTAGGGATACTCAGCCATGCTAATCCAGTTAGCCTTTAGCTCTGCATGCTGATTGGCCGCCTGGTGTGACTGAGTTGGTTTAGTCTAATAAAACTAACAAACCGTTTGGTGTTACCTCATAGTTTCTTTGTTTTGCTTCTCCAGCTTTTTTTTTAAAAGTTTTGTTGGCTCCAGTGGCCTTTATTTGAAAGTAGTTTGACAGGAAAGAGGGTAATGAGAGAGGGGGAAGCCATGCGGCAAATGTCACCAGGCCGGGAATCGAACCTGCGACCACCAGCATGAGGACTAAGGCCTCTCTATACATGGGTTGTGCTTTGCCCCTGCGCCTCCACAGCACCCCTTCTCCAGCTTTAATGTTTCCCTGTGGAACCTCGATCACACGCCGTGTTTTTGTTTGCAGTTATGACGGCGTTCCCTTCCTGATGCACGACTCCACGCTGAGGAGGACCACCAACGTCGCCGAGGTTTTCCCCAATCGGACGCACCTGGACGCCGCCATGTTCACCTGGGCCGAGATACAGCAGCTGAACGCCGGCAGCTGGTTCCTGCTGGTGAGCGTCGGCGTTTCCACACATCAAGTTTTTAAATCAGGGCTGCTTTAACGTCTGAACATCACTAACTAATGATTCCTTAAAGAGCAATTTGAAATTTTTTAAATTTTAAATTTTAAAGAGTCCCAATTTAAAAATGACCTAATAAGGTCTTATGGACCAAAAAAGAATAATTTCAAAAATGATTAATTTTAAACACATTTTTGTATCTTTTGAAACACATAAAAAAATTATATGTGGAGTTTTATACTCATTTACTCTGAAAGCATAAAAATGAGTTTATATGGTTTTATTTAGTTAAATTCCTAGTTTTAAATCTACATTTATGTACTTTTTAAAAAGTTATTTGAATTTGTGATATAAACTCTGAAAAGTGTGGCTTGCATTTGTTTTTGTCTACCCTTACATTCCACTCAGTCCCCAGTCTTTTTTTCTACTGGTCCAGTAAACGGTAAAAAAGCATGATGCTGCCACCACCAGGTTTCTTATGCCATAAAATCTCTTTCATTATTTTATGTAAGGTTGTTTGTCTACCTGAATATGTTTTTAGTGTGTTGCTGCATCCTAGAACGTTTTTTAAAATTATGTTTTAATCTTTTCATCTGTTTGATAACTGAATAAAGTTTTGTGTGAAATCAAGAACCTTTAAATATTTTAGAAGCTAACATGTAGCACACGTCTCACACACACCTGTGAAAGCTGATTTAATTTCTTAGAAGAAAAGTACGACTTTAACTATGCTTTTAATTTGAAATCTTCTTCCATTTTTTGACCCGTCTTTCTGTCCCGTAGAGGGATCCGTTTGGAACCGCATCGAGCCTTTCTGAGACGGATCGCTCTCAGGCCCAGAACCAGTCTGTTCCCTCCTTGGCCCAGTTCCTGGAGGTGGCAGCTGCCAGAGGCAAACTGGTGCTGTTTGACCTGCGCAGGCCACCGTATGGACATCCCTACAGACCCTCCTACATCAACACAACTCTGCAGGTCGTCCAGGCCCACATCAACTCCTCACAGGTAGGCTGCACTGCAAAAACACAAAGAGCAATTTATCTAGTTTATAGTGCAAACATCTGAGTTCACTTAAAAACAGACACAACTAAGTTAAAAATAAATATTCAGCAAAATATAAGAGCTATTGATGAAAAACTGCCAGCTCTACTGGCAGATTATTCTACTTATAATGTTTCCCTTGTCATTAGTGAAATAATCTGCCAGTAGAGCAAGTAGTTTTTTAATCAATATTAATGAATTATTGACTTAAAATAAACTCCTATATGTTGTGGAGAACTTAGCTTTGTCCTATTTCAAGTCTACTAAGATATTTCTACAAAGGAGTAAAATAAATTTAAATTATGAGATTAAAGTCGTAGTATTGTGAGAATAAATTCAAAATATTACCAGAATAAAATCAAACGAGAATAAAATTCAACTACCAGAATAAAGTTGAAATATTGCGACTTCATTCTGATAATTTTGTTATTTTTTGTTAGTATGGCTCTTATGCTCCGTCGTATATCAGCTTTAGAAACTGGTGCTGTTTCACACCATGCCTGTATAAATGGGTCCCAGTGTGAGTTGCCTACTGGTTCCACTGGCTGTGCAGGTGCTGTGGCTGCCGTCTGAGGACCGGGCTCTGGTCTCCGGTCTGGACCCGGCGCTGCAGCAGACCTCCGGGCTGAAGGCTTCCATCCAGGAGCTGACGGACGACGGCATCAGCTGGCTGAACCTGCACTACAGCACCATGTCGCAGCAGCAGATCTGGTACCGGCCCACTGCAGAACCACAGCACACCACGGCTCCCAGTCGCTTCAGATTGAACCACTAAATGGTTTTAAATACACATACAATAACAAATGCAGCATTTTAACCATTTTTCACACTTTTTCTTCCAATATTTGCAATGAATTTCTACAAAAAATGACACTAAAAGTACCAGAAACGTGTTTTTAGATCCGTTTTCTTTGTCAATCATTATTAGATAAAAATTTGAAATAAAACCCATCCTCTCTTTTGTTTCTTTTCAAATTCTAAAATTAGAATCAATAGAATTACGTGAATAAAGTCACATTATGAGAACAATCTATACGACAATAAAGTAAAATATTTTAATATGATTATATTTTTATACAACTTTATTCTTTATTATGACTCATTACCTCGACTTTATTTTAATAAAATTAAATTGTAGTAAATTTCCGCCAATTTTTTTTAATCAATTTCAGAAATTATCAGAAATTAATTTCAAAATTGTTAGAAAACAAATTTCTGAGTTTCAAAAGTAAAAATTTTCTAGAAAATCTCAGAAATTTCCCTTTTTTTTTCTAGAAAATTTCTGAGATTATTCTCAACATTTTTTTCTGAGTTTTTTGACAAATTTATTTACAACAGCCATCATAATCAGCATCAACACTGAAATTGCTGAACAACTCGCATCCATCTACTTGTAAAAACCGTAAACATTTAATTCAGGCCGTCTGGTTCTGCTTTCGGTAATCTGCTGGCTGAACCCGGCCGAGCTGAGAGGGAACAGGATGAAAAGTTCAACAAGCTCAAATTATTTCCTGAAGAGCCTGAAGAGCAGCAGAGAAACGATGAAACCTGCAGGAAGCAGGCGGGCGGCGACTGGAGAACAACAATCTGACAAGAAGAAAAATAATGGAGAGACTGATGAAGGTTTGAACATAATTTAATCTGAGAGGAGAGTTTCCTCCTGACTCATCCTGAGTGAACCTTCAGCTTTGACTCACTCTGTGAATCATAGACTTTTATAAAAATGCTAATTTATTCTTTAAAAGCTCATTTTTATTTAGTAGATGAATTTGGAAGCCATAAAAAAGCTTTATTACTCAGAAACTTGTATTTTTTAATAATTTACTGTATTAAAATGTAGCTTTAAAAATATTAAATAAGTTTATTTAAAACTTTAAATCTAACCAAAAATAACTGCATAATCTCAAGTTTCCATTAAACAAGAAACATAAAAAATCATGTGAAAAGTTTGATCATGCAATAAGTTTTATAATAACGTTAATTTAATCTGTAAAAGATGAACCCAAAGATGGTTGGATTGAGACTTTCTGAAGTTTAGAAACCAGCAGCTCCAGTTTGATAACCTGGATGAACCTCTCTCTCTCCCTCTCTCTCTCCCTCTCTCTCTCCCTCTTTCTCTCCCTCCCCCTCCTCTCCAGTAAGTACCAGTCGGTCAACATCAGCACCAACCTGTACGTCATCAGCCAGCCGTGGCTCTACACGCTGGCCTGGTGCGCCGGAGCGCAGTCCGTCACCACCAACTCCATCCACATCCTGTCCAGCATCAACAAGCCGCTCTTCCTCATGGTCAGCCTCACTCTCTGACTTAAGGCGCCTTTTTAAGGTGGAACTCACCTTTTGTGTTCCAGCAGGTTTAAAGCAGAGGCATCTCCATAACAGATCGATTTGTTTTAGTAAACTAAGCGCATATAAGGCGCATTAACCCATATATTAGTATTATTGTTACACAGTGATGCTCTGATGGTCCAGTTAATGGTTCTGGTTCTGGTAACGATCTCTTCCGGCGGTGTGGGAGTTTTAAAATCAGGTCTTTAAATGTCTGAACTTCCTGCTGCTTCCTGCTCATCCTGTGGTTCTGATCAGTCCAAGCTGTCCGTTTCATAATGTTGCTGTTGGTTCTGACCCGTGGCGTACATAAACCCGGTCCGTTCTCTCTCCAGACTCCAGAGGAATACTCCCTGATGTGGATCCTGACCGACTTGGTCTCTGCCTTCCTCATCTTCGCCATTTTCACGTTCCACTGGTGAGAAACACAAACATCCTGCTGGTTCTGATCATCCCGGCTGCTGGTCGGTCGGGTTTAATGAAGGAAACTAAAGAGACGGAACGGGTCAGGATCGGGTCGCCGGCACCAGGATTTCTAACTTTATGAATGTTTTACCTCTTAGTAAAAGAGGCTCAATTAAAAAGTCACCTGAAGGTTTTCAGAGCAGAAACTTTATGAACTCAGGTTTGGGGATCAGAAACTTAAATTTCTAGTTTCCCTCCTGTTGGAACAACGAGACGGATGTTTGGTAATCCTCTTTAATCTGTAATTTTGCTGGATTATTAAGGGTAAAAATATTCCAGACTTTGACTCTTGACTGATTATTTAGATTTTTGTCCTGGTTTCCTGTCTCCTTTCCTTCTGACTTCCTTCATTGTGTCCTTTCTCATTTCCTTGTATCCCGTCTCCTTTCCTTGTGTCCTGCTTTTCTTTCTCTTCCTTTACTTGTCTTATTTTGCTTCCTTTTGTCCTTCCTTGTCCTCTAATCCATCCTTCCTTGTCATCTTTTCTTGTGTCCTTCCTCCCTCTGTTGTCCTTCCAGTCCTTGTTTCCTTTTTTTCCTTCCTTGTGTCCTGCTTTCCTTTCTCTTCCTTTACTTGTCTTCCTCCTCCCTTCTGTGTGTCCTATCTTTCTTCCTTGTGCCTTTCCTTCCTCGTCCAGTCTGCAGATGAAAGCGGTTCTGTTCTGGTTCTGATCTGGTTCTGTTCTGTGTCTCAGGTGGAGAGAGCGCGGTTTGCCCTTCGTGTCCGGCAGCCGGCAGACCAACGACAACGGACCGTACAGCAAGTTCAGAACCGGTAGGAGAGAAAAGTTCTTCCTGCTCTGGTTCTGTTGCTGCTTTCACCAAAAAATGAACTTAAAAATAAAATGTTTATGGGTCACGTGGAGCTGGACAATAAATCAATAATATATATCATGATAGACACGTGATCAATATTATTAGGTAATACAGCTGATAAATAATTTCACTGAACTTCAATCCAGAACCGCACAGCATCCAGGGAGATGCAGATCTGTTTCAAACCTGTTTTAATGTTACCAACAGCATGAGTTCTGGACTGGTTACCAGTTTCACACTGATTGCAGGTCCAGTTCGTTTCTGGTTCCCTCATAAATCTGTTTCATCCACATCGGCGCCGGAGGACAAAGTCGCTTCTCTGACTGGATGCTGGAAAATAATGTTGCTGCGTTCAAGTTGTGCTAAAAGGAGTTAGCCTGTTAGCAAAGCTACTCAAGCCTAAAGTAGCATCTCAATGCTAACACATAGCAGAAACCACAGATGCTAATGCTAACATTAGCATCCACAGTCCACTTTTCTAAAGAGGTTTTATGGATGATCAGATTCCTGAAACTCTTTCATCAATCTGATTTTTTAAGGGCCTAAATAACAGATTAAACAATAAATATATTTGTTGTTGAGTTAATATGTATTTATTCAATAATTTAAGTGTTTTTGAATTGAAAATGTTGCTTATTTTGTTGCTCATATGGTTTTCGATTAATAAATTTCAGACTTGGTGATTAACTTCTATTAAAACCTTTCCAGCACCAGAGTAAACGCAGTGATGTTTGGTGTTTTCATCGGCTGATGTTTGCACGCTGTGTGTCGTCTGTCAGACTCCTCAGAGGTCATCTGTGTCGGCTGGAGCCCTCTGCACTCTGACCCCCCCGCTGCAGCTCATATCTCCCTCCCCCTGACCTTCAACCCATGACCCCTGCATGCCATGTCATCCATTCACTGTATGACCACGTTTCCTGCCTCTCTATGTGATCATGTTATAGATCTATGTCCACACACACACACACACACATCTATTTCCTTTTATTTTAATTTGGTTAAATGAAAACTGCAGAATGAGAGATTTCAGTTTATCTGAATAATCGATCAGTAGAATAATCTCTACTCTGCTTTAATCTAATCTAATCTGTCTGTTTGCAGAGCTGAGCGACGTTTGGTCCATCTCCAGTGTAAACGTGCGGCCCGACCTGCGGAGCTCTCCCAGTTCTCCCAGTAGCCCCCACCTGCCCACCATTACAGAGGAGTGACTGGAGGCTTTACAAAAGCCACATCTCCAATCATGAACCAAACAGAAAATTATGGAGTTAAAAAAATAAAGAGAGAAGAAGCAGAAAGATGTTTCCTCCACTCACCGACTGAACTGGTGATCCAAACCAGACTGGTTCCATCTGACCCAGTCCATCCAACATGGCGCCATGAAGGAGGGAATCGTCTTCATCACTTCTGGTCAGGAAAAGACTGAAAACATCCGGCTGTAGTGAAATCTGTAGATACGGAGAATACTATTAATATGAACAAGCTTCATCTTTTACTGTCAGGATGCATTAAAACTTATTATGACTTTAATTATGTATGAAAAAGATCCAGAGCTTCAGACGTCATTTTGAGCTTTAGGTGAAAATAATCTCCATAAATGTAACATCAGGATCTGCCGGAAGTGAATTTCATACAAATGTTTATTGCTAAATGTTTCCTGGAATCAAAAATTCATCTTCTCTACATTCCTTTTTATGGATATTTAGAAACCTGATCAGTGATCAGATAGACTCCAATATTTGAACAGAAAATTGATTCACTGCAAAAACTAAAAATGACAAAAATGGCACCGAGCATCTTGGTCTGGTTTCTAGTTTAAATATCTTCAAACGTTTGAAATAAAGCAAAACTTAAATAAGTGTTCATCAAGATATAGGAGCTTGTTTTAAATCAATCATTTCTGAATATCGATAAAAAAACAAAAAAACACCACCAGTCC